ATAAAAAGTTTAAAACCCTCAAAACTTAAAAGAAATGGAAATATTCTTTTAATAAACTCAAAATTAAAATATTTTTCCAAAATTAAAGCTTTTTAACAACCTTAACTTTAATCTTCATTAAATCTTTTTAATAAACCTTAACCTATAATCTCTTAAGATTGAAACTTTAACAATCCTTTACTTAAAATCTTCATTAAAATTATTAGGATAACCTTAAGTTTAAAACTTCTAATAAAACATAATTTTTCAAATTTAGTGCCCTATTAAAACCTTTTTAAACCAAAATAAACCTAAAATTATAATAAACTAAACTCAAATTTACAATCTTATAAACTGAATATTCACTAAAAAATTTCAAACATTACAAAAACAAATTTAAAATAAATCTAACCTAAGGAAATCATTAAGAAAAGAATTATTTAATCACAACCATCCTCCCCCTTGAGCTCATTAATTTAAATAGCAAACCTACATAGGTTTTGAAAGGCTCTCTTTAATAGCTTAACTTAAGCATGATTTATATAGTCGTAGGCATATGTGTCGCTCTAACACACGTTCCATTCCAGGAACATACAATTTCATAAGCTTAGCCTTCGGTTATATAATTCTTGGGCCATTTCGAGTATATATGTTTCATATGTAAGTGAGTTTATATCGCGTGTACTCTTCACATAATAAAATCTTTTATAAATTCCTTTTTGTATAGAAAGAAAATATATTTATAAGCATATGGATGAACATTAAAAATGAAGAATATGAACATAAAATGTTTGAGTAGAATTTTTTCATACATAAGGCTCAAATAAAAACATTAAAACAAAACACTTGAGGACAAACTAGGAGAAAGAAACAAGCAAAGACGTCAACTTGCGAAAAAAAATCAAACTTAAACTTAGATAGAAACCTTGGTTTATCATACCAACTGACAACCCAGTGAAACTGAAACCTCAAAACTTAGAAGAACCTTGATTTTCACCTTGACAATCAAACTAAGAATAAAAAAAACACAAGTAAATTACTAAAGCACAGAAATAATTAATAGTCACTAACTCTACTTTTCACAACCATTACCTAGGTAGATCTAAACTATGAATCTTAGGTTAGCCAACAAATAAGTAAAATCCAATCACACGCACTATAGATTTGTCCACCAGAAGCCCAAGTTAGTTTGCTAAGTACTCAATAGATAGAATTAAGGTCTAGGACCTATAAAACAAACAGCCTTACCACATAAAACTATGTTGGTACCAAGGAAAAAGTAACCCATGTTTAGTGATGAAGGTACCCCAAACTACTAAATAGTAGGAATGCTTATCTTAATCTTCGCTATGACAATGAGGGAGACCTCCTATTATTTATTATGTTAACATTCTAAGGATCCAAATGCATCTGAGATGATGGAAAGCCGCGAGCATCTTAACCTGGGGCGTTATTCCAAAACATTTTGGTTGTTCCACCTATTTAGCCTCATTTTTAGAGTTATTTTAGGTTAAGGCTTCAACTCCATCTAGAAATCTCCTACCTTTTCATATCCCCTAGTCTAGAGTCAATTCCAAAATCAAATCTAAGCTCAAATCTAAATCCAAACGCTACCCCAATTCTAATTTCCTCAAATCCAACTTCCAAATGAAACTCAACCTCATAACTAACTCAACTTCGTATTTAAAATTAAACTTGTTAAACTAAAATATAATTCAAATCTATACTTAAATCTTATATCCAATTTAACTTGCCCATGTCTTAAAATCAAATCTAAGACCAACACAAATCTAAACCCTAAATTTGATATTCAATTTCTAACTATCAGGTCAAAACCCTAGACTTCTATGACCTTAAAATACAAATTAAAATTTAAAACTTGGACCCAAGTTTACGTAAATCTTCATCAAATTTCAACTAATTTTATAAAACATAATAAACTTCAATCAAATTAAACTCAATAAAATAAACTTTAACTAAGACTCAGAAACTTCAATTAATTTTAACTTAAATAAAATGATTTATAAAAAGCAATTGTCCTCCTTCAAGGCTTTTATGTTAGGAGAAATTAACAACTCATAAATTAAATTAAGAATATGGAATCAAAACAGCAAGTGACTTCAATAGATGAAATCTCCAACTAGTTAGATAATTAAAACGAGAAGTATTTTGCTGAATTAAAAGCACAAGTTCTTAAATTTTTTCTACATTGATCATAGTTTCTTAATAAACAAGCTACTCTAGTGCTACCCAAAGACCTATAAACTTGACATCATTTTGCTGGATAAAAATTCAATTAGTATTGCTTACAACAATCTCTATGTACATAAAGATAAGGAAATAATTGTTTAATTAGCCCAATCAACACTCATGTATGCCAATGGAGAAAAGTTTCTTAGTTTAATACATAATTTATATATTTTGTAATGAACTAGAACAAAGTTCATTTGATAATATATGAAATCACACTTCTTATGATGCTCATGATACACATGACTATGACCCATTTTACATCTCAATTCAAACTTTATAGAAAAAAAAATGTGTAATTTTATAAGTGCTTTTCTATATTATTTAAATAGTTAGAGTTCTTCATAATCCAATCTTTTTTGAATTACAATCAAATTATTTTTTAGCCATAATTGAGTAATAATCAAACGAACTTCAAACTATGACTGTTCAAATCATCCTCAAAACATGATCCACCTATCTTCAAATTATAATCCAATAAACATTGAACCATGATCAAATAATAATTAGACCATCTACAACCCCATTTTATGTACTTTGACTTCAAATGGTAGTTTAAAAATAGAAGGGGTTATTTCTTATTGAGATTTATTTGGCCAATCTATTATTTCTCTAAGAAGACTACATATTTATTCGAGTTTCATTAATATTGATCACATAAATTCAATTTTCTAAATACTTAACTTTCAAGTTATAATTGTTTTACCAGATGTTAGGGAAAGTAAAAATGATGTCACTTCATGCATCAAACTCTTGCCCACTCTTTGTCATTTGACTCCTAAGACAACCCTTATTGTGTCGTCCTCTTCTTTATAACTGGTGATAGTTTTTTTTTTCTCTTTCTCTTGATGTTCATGATCATTTTCAAAAGCCACTTAATCACTATTATGAAATCTCTTTTATTTTCTATTTCATTAAAACCTATTTGATCCTTAACTATTATGATTATTAAACCCAAGGCCTTGGTTGATCCTCAAATAAAGTCACCATCTTTTGCCCATATGGCTTTTGTTGCTTCATATGGTGCCCCTCTCCTTTTCTACTTATTGGTTGCGTTTCTTCCACATCAACCCAAATGCTCTTTTACAAATGTTGCAAATGGTTCAAATGTTTTTTGACATTTACTTCTAACTAAATATATCTCAATTTTTCTTTCAACAAAATTTAGAGATTCCTTAAGATAAATAAACTTTATTTTTTAAGACAAACGTACCCACCATTTTAATGATGTGAATATTTTGTGCTTATTAGGCTATTTTCCCTCTATGTTCTTGTCAAGTTAACAAATATTAGATGATTATTCTATTAGACTCATCAATCTTTAGCAAGTAGTCCTAATACTTTCTTCAAATATAAATTACATCAAAAAAAATTTTTCTCATGGTGATTAAATTATATTAATGAGCTCTTGATACATATGTTAAGGTGGCACCCTAATTTTGATTGCTCCATAGAGCCCTTTGTCACTCCAATTTAAATTTAATTTGAATGATTTCATTGACACCACTTTAACTAGTTAAATTTATTCTCTTTTAACTTCTATTTTTGAAAAACACCAACTAATGGATGTTGCAACATCTCATATGTCTAGTTCTTCAATCCTCTTAGCTAGAATCTTGGTTAAATTAAATTTGATATATCTTTTCATAAAGAAGTTAAGATTGAGTCTTCATTGCCTGAACATTGGCATCAAGTAAAATTTGAACATTCCATCATACTACTCTTGTTATACATTCTAGCATAAGACCTGTTCAAATTGAGAAACCATCAAGATTCTCCAAACTTCTTGGTGGAAGTTAAAGTTCAGTCACCAAGTTCCATCTCTCTTCAGAAGAAAGTAATTGAAATTCTCCCTGAGAGCCCATGATGATTAATTCAACAACTACTGCTAATATAATCTAGAAAACTTAGCAAATTCTTTAAATGCCTCTATATATTCTCATTTGTTAGCAAAATCATCCATGATTGTCACAATAAGTATATAATTTCAATTGGGGCATTAACAGTTTGATGAATAAAAATTTCATATTATTTAAATAGGAGCATAAATCAAAATAAATTTATCATCGCTCATACTTTTAGTAAGCTTCAATCAAGATGATCTAAATAAAACCTTACAATCTATTTCTACATTGTGATATTTTTTATTTTCTTTTGAAATTTTTATAAGATATTTTTAATGTATTCATACCATTATATAGTCAATATAATTCAGTTGAAGAAAAATATGAGATGTTTAAAAATAGGGGCCGTTTACATACATACCACTCGATTCCTACGGATTTAGACATCTAACACCTAAACTTTATTTTTTACAATACAAACCATCGTGGCCTAGTGGTTAAGATTTCGTCTTTCCACCAAGAGATCTTGGGCTCAAGAACTTGCATATATGATATGCACGAAAAAAATCAAAAAAAGCTTTTACATTACCAACAAAATCGTTCACATCAGATAAACAAGATGATCATTTTAACTTTTAAAAAGTGAAATAAAACCGCTTATGCATAGGTAAGGTGGCATGCACGGAAATACTAAAGTTTTGATGTTAGAAATGTCAGTACATAGGAATTGAGTGGCATGCATGTAAATATTCCTAAAGAATAATGACTTGCTAAGAAAACAAAAAATATCAGCTCAAGTAGTCAAAGCGACAAAGTAAATCAACTTTCAACACTAAAACCATCATAAAGCATATACATGCAGAGATGGAACATGCTGCTAAAGAGTTATAGCTTTATATGTATTAATATTTCAATTGCAGCAACTTGTTAAGGATAGTTCTGTCTCACATGCTTCACAAATTTAAATACATATACCAACAAAACGGAAACAAAAAATCAAAACAAACTTCTTGCCCGATTCTGCATGCCACTGAAACAATGCTTGTTCAAGTAAAACCAAAAACAATCTTCAAGAAAAAACTTCAATCATAACTTGTGCTTTCATCACAAATTAAATTAAACAAATGGGCAACTGAAATCCATAAAGGGTCATGCATACCATTGGATCAATACATCAATATTGATCTACCAATGCATGCATTCATGTTCAATGCAAATAGAGGCGCATTAATTAATATCCAGAGACAACATGCACATGCATTCATGGCACATGATGATCCATAAGCAAGCATTAGTTATTCTTTTTATTTATTTTATTTCTTTAGTGTGAGATGTGAGGTGTGAGCAGATGGACAGTCAAATGAAAATCTAAAATGCATTTTGTTCAGCATCTGCACTGTCCCCAACCATCTGATTACTGTTTTGAAAGATGGAGCCTAAAATTGATGGAAGACCAGCTGCATCACCAACAGCATGCTTGCAGAGGGGGCACAATGCGTTAATCTTGAGCCACTTGTCTACGCACATGGTGTGGAAGAAATGCTGGCATGGAAGCTCACGGAGATCATCATTCTCCACATATCTAGCCAAGCAGATGCAGCAGACCTACAAAATTATGCGACAGAACCATTTTTGGATGCAGAAAAATAATTGATGAGAATAAACTTTAATGCTTCTTAAAAATACTGTCTTTGTAATGTCTCCTAAAAATACTTGTCAGTGCATAAACTTTAAGAAAATTAAAAGAAAAACGTAAAGTAGAAGGGTACAAATTCTTACAATTTAGGATGCAGAAAAATAATTGATAAGAATAAAATATGAAGGGACATTTACACACATACCGCTCAATTCTCATGCATCTACATTTCTAACACCTAAATATTGCTTTTTTACATTTATACTATCCAAATCTTTCAAATCACATCAAAAATGCCATCTTTTAAATTTTAAAAAGTGAAATACGTATTTTCATGCATAGGTAAGTCGTAATATGCGTAAAAATTAATGTTTACGTGTTAGATATGTAAATACATCAGAATTAAGCGGTATGCAGGTAAATCTTCCAAATATAAATTTTCAACAAGTAAACCTGAATATCTCGTGTTTCAAATCTGTATGTGACTGCAAAATAAATAGTTTCAATTGACAACATCTTCCCAGTTCCCAACAAACATAAAAAAAGGTTCTTTCACAGTTGTACGTGTATAATTGTAAGTAAGAAGCATTTAAGCACACTCTATGTCACGACTATTCCGATGCTTGAAATTAACCAAGACGGGAAGAGACGGTCATACGGTGAGAACTAATTATTTTATATTCATTTACCGTTTAACAAATGAAAGTACTACTGATTAAATTAAATTAAAATGATATATTTAAATTTATCTCGTTACTAATTGTCCACGTCTTCTATAAACATTATCATTTCTATCACTCATCTTTTAATCACTTAATTAACCTGAAAAATTAGTTTAAAATAATAATAAACTAAAGAATTCAGTAAATACTCGTACTCCTAAACTATAATAATATAAGAGGAAAGAAAGTAATATAAATGTCAGTTAAGCTTTCAAAAAATCAATATAAATATATGAGATATTATTCAATGAATCTTAGTATATCAATAATATATTAGTATCATTCTATATCAGTACAACCGTTATGAAAGCATTGTCTAGAAACTGTATCACTTAAGGTACTTCAATATCAATATCTTTTTTCATATACGTGCACAAGTAACTTAGTGTTCACCCACTAGTACCATAAATGAGTGACTCAATCATAGTCAGTCATGCACATACAAACATTCTATTAAAATCACCATTTATTAAGAACATATTTAATTCTCATTTACGTATCAAATAATATACTTATAGATCATTTTAATGATACTTTAAATAATGTTATGCACACATATCATTCCTATAATATCAACAAAAATTCAAAGAATTCATAACTCCTAAGTTTGCAGCAATTTTGATGGTACTGGTAAATGCATTTGGTATAAAAGAAATAAAATATCACCATAGTATAAGAACATGAGTACTTACCTCGATGTTTAATTTGTTATTTAATTTGTCTTAACATATTTTCTTCTAAAATTGAAAACTTAAAATAAACATGGCATTCATATTAAAATATAATTTTATTAATTATGTTATTAAATATATACAAATTTAATAATATATATTACTTTAATTAACTATTAACTTTACATTATTTAAGTATAAGATTTTCATTATTTTACCTTATATAATCCTTTTTTTATTCTATTTATAAAACTTACCTTACCTTCCTCAATCAAACGCTGACACGTGGCCGAAGCTTCGGCTATCCCACAGGCATCACCTTCCTCACGTCGCCTGGTTTGACATTCGTACAATATGTTCGCTTCGTCTTGCCTCTTTTGCTCAACATTGATGTTGTCATTTGTCGTTGTTGGTTAGGTATAAACCCTAGCATCACACCTCCGCTCGACAAAGCCTCCTCCCGCAAAGTCCTTCTCCTCTTTATAGGTTTCTTCTTTCTTCCTTTTCTTGCTCCACTGACCTTGACACGAGAGCTCCCGCCCCTCCTTAGCTTGACGATGCCCCTCTTGTGCCCAACAGTGGTGTCACTTCCCTCAATTCTACTAGCAAATTTTCTCAGTGGCATCGTTTTATAGACAAAGTCATCTCCATAACTTCTGATCCCCTCATTTCATGTCCCCCTCTTTGGCTTCTTGACTCATAGTTCCTTTCCCCCATCAGTTCGGCATTTTGATTCCTCTCCCGGGTAAATGGAAACGGAACAATACAATCTTCCCACTTAAAAAAATTTCATCTTCGAAATTTATAAACCGACCTCAAGTCATTTCTCATAAAGCAAGTCAACATTAACAATCCATAAATTTTCTATCAGACTCTCTTCTTCTATAATTCTGAGTGTTTCACAATGACTAAATGAATATAATTATTAATTTGAGTTAACTTTAAATTTTTTATTTTTTGTTATTAATTTTTTCTTATTGGCTCTTTCATCAACGTCTAGCCTAGGGCTTAAAATTAACCAATACGGGAACAGAAAGTTGGACGGTAGGAATTAAATTTTCTATATTTATTTACCATTTAACAATAAAAAAATCACTAATTATTTTAAATTAAAAAGTATATTTAAATTTACCTTGTTACTGGTTGTCCATGTCTTCTATAAATATTATTCATTCTATTAATCATTTTTAATCACTTAATTAACCTGAAAAATTAGTTTAAAATAAAAATGAACTAAACAAACAAGTGAATACTCATACTCATAAACTACAATAATGTAAGGAAAAATAAAATAATATACATGCAAGTTAAGTTTTTAATAAATCAATAAAAAAATATATGAATTACTATTAAATGAATCTTACTATATCAATAACATATTAATAATATTCTATATCTGTACAACCTCCATAGAAGCACCATATAATAATTATGACACTTAAGGAACTTCAATATTAATATTTTTTTTTCGCACAAGTGCACAAGTACCTTGGTGTTCCCAACTAGTACCATAAAGGGATCTCTATAATAGTATTCATGCACATACAAACATTCTATGAAAATTACAATTTACTAAGAATATATTTCATTCTCATTTGCATATCGGATAATATACTTAAAATTATTCAAATGATAATTTAAATAATACCGTGCATAAATCCTTTCAACAATATGAATAAAAATTCACTAGAATTCAAAACTTTGAATTTTGCAGTAATTTTGATACTATTAGTAAATGCGGTTGATCTAGAAGAAGTAAAATATCACCATAGTATAAAAACATGAGTATTCACTGCAATGTTTAATTTATCATTTGATATACATTGATGACTCTTCTAAAATTGAAAGTCTAAAATAAACGTGGCATTTATATTAAAATTTAATTTAATTTTTTATGTTATTACATATATACAAATTTCTTATTGGCTCTTTCATCAACGTCTAGCCTAGGGCTTAACTATTAATTTTACATTATTTAAACATAAGATTTTCATTTTTTTACCTTATACAATCTTTTTTTTCTATTCAATATATATATATATATATATATATATATATATATATAACGCGCAAGAGATTATATTAGAAAGCCCAAAGACTAATATATTAAAAGGAAATAAGGATACATATAGATTGTGTGGAAGGGCCCATACATGACACCATTCCCCTACGATAACTACCACATACAAATGGTTCAAAAAACAGATAAAATACAGAAAATTACAATAGACCTAAAGAAAAAAAACAAAAAATGTCAAAAAAACGTTGTATCAGGTAGCTAATGAGTGACACAATTTTGCTTTTCCTCTATCTATAATTTTAGGAAATGAGTCAGCTAATAAATTAATAAGATGAGTGTCATTGCCAGTAATGATCAAAATATCATCCAATAAGTTTCAAAGCTTGAGTCGACCTCCAGTCTTCTTCTTCCTCCTGGAATCCTGCCATTCCTCATCCGAAGATTGGCTTGCCTGATCAGTGGATTGGTCTAAAATGTGTCGGATGTTGAACATTAGAAATAATTGTTTGTTCTACCAGCTGATCTTTGTTTGAATCAAAGAAGTACTCTCGTGTGTCTTGGCATGTGAATGAGTATTCTTCAATAATAGTGAGTGGTATAAACACTTTTGGATTTGTACATATAATATAATGTTCTTCATCAGGAACTGCGATGTTGGGTAGAGGATCGGTTTGCACCTTCTCAGCAGGGATGACAGGCGATTGATCTTTAACGATATCTAAAACCTGTCTTGTGATAGCTTTCTCTCCAGATGGAACAGATATGTCTAGAGTAGTGAGATTAGATCCATCCTTATTCACTTGATCTTTAGATTTCAAGTTAGGATGAAATTTATGGCATTTATCAAGTGTATGCCCAAACAAATTACAATGAGAACAGTAAGGTGGTCTATGCTCCATGACGATTTGTTGTCAATATCCATTATGAGTTGTGCTCAACCAGACTTCAGTAATATCAGGTAAAGCAATATCTCTTTCCACAAGTATTCTAGCCACAAAAGGTCTGGTTATGTTGGAAGTCGGTAGATCTAGCTCATAGGGTTCCTAAGTATGGCCCCAATAGAGTAAAGAACCTGATGACGAGAAAAGTGCAGCTTAAGACCTGATAAACTGAACCATACCGGTACAATAGGAGATTCATGATTGGGGTCAAAATCAGGAGACCATTTGAGTAGCTTCATTGATTTAACATCAATGCTGAGATATTTTTGGAAAAATCCGAGTGTAGTCTTCAGTCAGGGTTAATTGAATCAATACATGTCTCTCATCCATGAGCCTCATTTTCCATGAGCCCCACTTTCCACTTTCCTGCTAATTTGAGATCATCAAAACTTTTCTTGATAACTTTCATAGGTGGGTGCCCCCACTGAAAGAGCAAACTTGAATTTATCAGTCATGGTTGAAATTTCTAACTCCAAGAAAAAAGTGTTGTTTTTTCACTTTTCCTGTTTGCATTCTTAATAAATGAGCAGTCACATGTACCATCACGATATTCCTTATAACTCAAGGGAAAGACAACCGCCGTCTCCACTTGAAATTTCTAACTCCGAGAAAAAA